CTGCTGCTGCTGCTGCTGCTCCTCCTCCTCCCCCCCCTCCTCCTGCCCCTCCTCGTCCGGGCCTGCTTGGCGGCCAGCGCGCCCTTCCGCCTGGTCCTCCTCACGGCAGCCTGGTAGGCCACGATCGTGCTCTCTTTTGCGGCGAGCTCGCGGTCCCTGTCCATGATCACCTCGCGGCGCAGACGTAGCGTCGCGCCCCGGTCGAACGCGCCAACTTCCCTCCCCCTCCCCCATCCCCCTCCCTGGACTCCTCCCCCCTCCTCCTCCTTCTCCTTCTCCTCCATTCCTCCTCCCCCTCCCCCTCCTCCTCGTCCCTCGTCCTCCTCGCCCTGATCCTCCCCCCCCCCCTTTCCTTACTCCTCCTTCCTCCCCACTCCTCCCCCACCGCCTCCCCCTCACCCCCCTCCCCCTCTTCCCCCCCCCCCCTTCCTCCTCTGAGGCGTTTTAACGTTTTGACTAGGATTTCGAAGCGGACCCAGCCGTGGAGGCGCGGCGACGCGGGAAGGGCCAGAAATCACACAACCGCGCAACCTCGAACTCTCTAACCTCGTTCCTCGAGGGCACGGAGGCGCCGGAGGAGGAAGCGGAGGAGGAGGAAGGAGGAGGCGGAGGAGGAGGAGAGGAGGAAGAGGACTGAGGACGACGAGACGACGACGATGCAGATGCAGAGGAGGAGGACCTCCTGTTCCTCACGCAAGCTCACCTCCGTTCACTCCTAATCACTGCCCCTTCGCCCCCCATCGCCCCCCCCCTCGCAAGGGCCGCCGGGCGGCTGGCGGCAGGCGTCGCGCCTGCACCAGCGCATGGTGGGACATGGCGAGATATTCAGCGGGGGCGCGACGTTTCCTCGCCGCGGGGAAAAGCGCCGCGGGGGGAGGGGGGCGGGGGAGCCTCGCACTGCCCCACTGTCCCCTCTGCCCCACTGCCCTTCTGCCCCCCGCTGCCCCCCCCCCCTTCCATCTTCCCCGCGGCCCATCGCACCGCCCGCCTCGCCACCCCATCTACCCATCTACCTCCTCTTGGTCCTTGGACCCCCCCTACCTGCCCTCCCGCCTCATCTCCTCATTTCCTCGGCCTCCCTCTCCCTCTCTCCTCTCTCTCTCTCTCTCTCTCTCTCTCTCTCTCTCTCTCTCTCTTTCTCTCTCTCTCTTCTCTCTCTCTCTCTCTCTCTATCTCTCCTCTCTCTCTTTCTCTCTCTCGCTCTCTCTCCTCTCTCTCTCTCTCTCTCTCTCTCTCTCTTCTCTCTCTCTCTCTCTCTCTCTCTCTCTCTCTCTCTCTCTTCTCTCTCTCTCTCTCTCTCTCTCTCTCTCTCTCTCTCTTCTCTCTCTCTCTCTCTTCTCTCTCCTCTCTCTTCTCCTCTCTCTCTCTCTCTCTCTCTCTCTCTCCTCTCTCTCTCTCTCTCTCTCTACTCTCTCTCTCTCTCTCTCTCTCCCTGCTCCTCTCCCCCCCCCCCCCTCCCGTCGCATGGCGCCATCGCCTCACCTCATCACCTCATCGCCTCATCACCTCATCACCTCATCACCTTTAGCCGGTGGGCGGGCTGGCGGGGCCGTCCTGAGGCCGGTCCGGGGGCCCGTCGTCGCCGACGAAGCAGACGATCGGGACGATCTCGCCGTCAACTGCGCCAACTGCTCCGATGGGTCGGATGGGGTGGGCAGCGCGGGCAGCGCCAGCGGCACCAGCGCTGACGACGCTGATGGGTCTGGCTCATCCGGGTGGGGCATTGGCACTGGCATATCTGGCATAGGGCCCATTCGAGCAACCAATGACGACCAATCATCTGATGGAATTCGCACACCCCCAGACTCCAGCGCGATAGCCAGAGCAATAACTGGTACGAACATACCGCCACCAACAATGTCAACTCTTTGCTGGGCAGCTGACGACCGACTTCTGGCTGCCCTGGAACTGCAGCCGCACACAGTCTCAACAATAGCTGGTAGGCAGGTGACTGGGAGGGACAGGTCTGTCTCGCACCACACAGCGTGCCGCCTCAGAGCGGCCTCTACTTGGCCCAACACCAAGGGGTGGCAGCCCATGCGCCCATGCGGCGCCGGCTCGCGGGGCCTCTGGGCCCCAGGGGCTGCAGCAGAGCAGCGGCAGCGGCAAAGCGGAGGGACAGGGCGCCGCGGGCACTGCTACCTCATATCCTCTGGATCCTCTGGCCTCCCCCCCCCCTCCTCTTGCCCCAATTTCGCCACTCCTCCACTCCTCTCGTTCCTTCCCCCTCCCCCGACTTGACTTACCACCCTCGCCACCCACGCCCCCTCCTCCCCCCCCCCCCTCGCGTGAGGAAGGCCGACGGCGGATCGCGTCAGACTCGGCGTTGTCCTTTCGCATTCACTGCCTCCCGGGGCGACCTCCCTCCTCCCTCCCCCAATCCACCTCCTCCTCCTCCCTCCTCCTCCTCCTCCTCCCCCTCATCTCCTCCTCTGCGTTTTGGCGAGGGTCCAGCTGCGACGATGAGTGATAGAGGGGCCTCCTCCTGGAAACCCGGGAAAGGAGCAGGAGCGCAGGAGGGCGAGGGGGGCGCGGGGTTCGCCGCGGACCCGCGCCGCCACGTCAGGGGCGGACGACGACGCCGACGACGCCGCCGCCGCCGACGACGACGCCGACGACGTCGGCAACGACGACGACGACACGACGACGGCGACGGCGACAGCGACGCCGACGACGACGAAGGCGACGGCGGCGGCGACTGCGGCGACGGCGACGACGACGTCGACGACGCCGACGCGCTGTTATTTTCAACCCTGGGCCCTGTTGTTGTCTTTGTTTTTTGACCATGGGCGCAGTTGTATTCGACCCTGGACGTGGATAAGAGCTCGCGCGAAATTTGGGCGCTATCGTTCTCGACCCTGGGTGCTACTGTTTTCTAATATCGCGCGAAGTTTGGGCTCTACTGTTGTCGCCCCTGGGGAGTTATTATTTGATATCGCGCGGAATGTGGGCGCGTTGTTTTCGGCCCCTGGGCGCTGTTGTTTGATGTCGCTCGAAGTTTGGGCGTTGTTGATTTCGACCCTGGGCGCTTCTGTGTTTAACCCTGGGCTGTGTTTGTTGGTGTCGCTTGAAATTTGGGCGCCGTTGTTTTCAACCGCGGGCGCTGTCTCTTGGAGAGCGGGGCGAAAGCGAGCGCCGTTATCGGGAGCGCCCTTGGAGCGATGAAAAGCTTACGGAGGGGGGTTGGTCTGAAGTGATCCGCCGTCGCTTCAAATAATTAGCGCCGCACACAACAAGCAGTTTGAGCATTATCACTAGAAACTGCTGCAAGATGGCAAGATGCTGGGACGAATGTTCGCGGAGCTAAAGCAACCCCCCCTTGGAACAGGAACCACCCTCCATCCGTGAAGCTAGCGCAAGCTTTGAAACAGGCATGTGCGCGGCGCTACGGCGAGAGCACCAGTTTGAACCCTCCACTTAAACCCCTGTAATTTCTGCACACGTTTAAGACGAATGCTCGCGGCGATAAGGCAAGAGCCACATTCTGCACACGCTCCCCTTCCAACAGTGAAGCTGCTCCAAATGTTTCAGACGAGTGTGCGCGACGCTAAGGCGGAACCACCAGTTCGACCCAGCTTTCATGCTTGAAGGTGGCGCAAACGATTGCGGCGAATGTGCGCGGCGCGAACGCGAGAGGCACCGTTTGAACACCACGTTCTCCGCATGCGCGAAGCTGCCTAAAAAAAACAACAGAAAACGAATGTGCGCGCCACGGAGCTGCCGCAGGAGACTTTCTCGTTCTCCATGACCACAGGTGCAAACGCGCGCAGCAGTTACACGGATGGGGGGGGGGCGGTCCTTCCTCGGAAGGGGGACCACGCTGGACACATCGCTGAACTGCACCGCCATTGTCGCTCGGGGCCCCGCTGACGGGCCACTCGGAGGAACAGCGAACCAATTCCTCTCAGAACGAGGCCCCCGCCAACATGGCAGGCCCAACGTTGCTGATCTTTCTTTGGGGACACTCCTGACAATGGAAAAGCGGGCCTGTAGGGGCGTACGGAGAGGGTACTTGGAGTTGAAGGGTGTACTTCAGCATCGTTTAGGCATGCTTGGGTTACCCTGGTTTCCTCCCCCCCTCCTTCCTCCTCTTCTTCTCCTCTCCTCCATCTCCCCCTGTCTCATCTTCCCGTCCTCCCTCCTCCTCCACTTGCTCCTCTTCTTCGTCAACCTCCTCCTCCTTCTCCTCCGTCTTCCCCGCACCCTCACACCCCGATCTCGACGGGAACGAATGGGCCATCTCGCACACCATACAGCCAAACGCCATGCCTACTCCGACCCCTCAGACAACCTTCCGCACCAATCCCAAATACTTAGCCATATCGTGGCCGGGGCCGCGCAACCCGTCGGCGTGAGACTACAGAGACCGCAACCTCTACAACGAACCAGACTTCCACCGCCCATCGCCAACAAGGGGCCGAATAAACAAACACGCACGCACGCACGTACACGCACAAACACACGCACACGCACACAAAAACACACACACACTCACACACACACACACACACACGCACGCACACGCACACGCACACACCCGCACACGCACACAGACACACTTGCACACACACACACACACACTCAAACACACAGACACAAACACGCACGCACGACACGCACGCACGCACGCACGCACGCACACACACACACATCCACACACACACACACACACACGCACACACATATTCACACACGCACACACTTTTCCGCGTTCGCGGGACATTGGGAGACTAAACTGGCCGACCATACACTGACAGAGACATACACGCAGACGACTTCTTCCGACGCGCCCAGGAATCCAGTCGGCGGGCAATACAGGGGGACGCATTTGCAAACCATGAGATTCCCCCATGTGGCATGGCGTGACAAAACGATACTGCACACAGACAGACGCACGCGCAACCGCGCGAAGGGGCGATCTTCGCATGCTGGCCTCCTGCCCGGCCGCTGTGTCCCCTGCAATGCCTCCTCCCCCCTCCCCCCCCCTGACGCGGAGACTCCTACGGCGGAGGTGCCCCAGTCGAATGTGGCCTCGGATGCGGGGGTGAGGGAGATGGGGGGAGGGAGGACGGATGGACAGAAGAAGGGAGCGGAGGGAGGGAGAGCGGAAATGGAAGGGCAATCGTGAGCAGTCGCACCCCTAAAGTTACCCGTCGGTCGGAGGAAATGGATAGAAGTATGAAGTAGGAAGGCGTCGAAGGCAGATTGGGCCTTCCGCCAGCCCCCTGAGGAAAAAGGAGGGACGATCACTACACTCTCGAAGTAGGAAAGCGCCTAAAGAAGATTGGGACGTGGGCGTCCCGAACTAGCTACTTCCAACGACCGGCGCGTACGTCATGGGAGGCAGGGATGGGAGGAGAGGGAGAGGAGGCGCGTGAGGGAGGACACGAGCGCTACAGCGAGGGAGCGAGGGAGGGCAGAAAAGGGAGGGGAGAGGGCGAGGAAGCGGGAGGGCGAGGAGGGGGGGAGAAAAGAAACAAAACGGCAGCAGGAGGGTGAGCAGAAAGTGAGAGGGGGGGGACAAAAGCGACCATCACATTCTCAAGGGGGGAAGGCAGAGGGTTGGCCGACCCGACCCAACCCTCTACCTTCAGGGGTGACATCCGATCTCCCTCTCCCCTACCCGCCGACCAGCCGTGCTGCGCCTTCCTTGAGGCGCACGGCAGCAGGGAGGCAAGGAAATCGGGGGCCCCCATCCGAGGCCAGAATATCTTCACTATCCTACCGTCTCCTTCGCTGACAGTCGATCTATCTCCATCGCCTGCGCCCCTGCCTAGAGGAGCTCTTGGCGGAATCGGCTATCCGAGACGGGATTTCTATCCAAAGCACAAACCCTACTACGGCCTAGAGGCTGATTCGGGAAAACGAGCGAGGACCCCAAACAGTGCGAGGGGGGGACAAAAGCGAGAACGCGCGAGATAGGAGGAGGAGGAGGAGGAGGAGTAGGAGGAGGAGGAGGAGGAGGAGGAGGAGGAGGAAGAGGAGGAGGAGGTGGAGCGCCGCTGAGGAAGAAATTGCCCACCGGGCGGCCTCCAGACGGGGAGAGGTGCGGCCTCGCCGGAGCACCCAGCAGAACCCGGGCCTCGCGGGCCGGGCCGCCGCACCCAAGGCTCGCACACGGGAGCGGTGCGCGAGCGGCGCGCGAGCGGTGCGCGGCAGACCGCTCGGGGAGAGACGTCGAGGTGAGGGCCCCTGTGAGTGACTACCTACCAGACCACCCCAACCCAACCCGAAGACCCGAATTTCGGGTTGGAAGGGGTCCCGGTTCCATATGTATTTTTTCAATGTTCCCCGACCCCCCCCCCACTGGAAATGGAGGGCAAATCGGGGCCTTCGGGTTGGGTTGGGGTGGGTTGGTGGGTGGTGAGTGAGCCCTGCACCGAGGAGCCAATCTCTCGGGGGTTGCCACAAGCTGTCCCTGGCCCAGGGCGCCCCCCAAGATCCCAGAGGAGTCCCCCAGGGCCTCCGGAGCAGCCCTCACGAGGCCCAGAGGGCCCCGGGTGCTCCAACATGCAGCGAAGAGCTGGGGGGCACCTGGGGCCGTGGGCGCCTTCAGCAACCCCCGATAGTTGGCAGCAGAAACGGAAACGACAGCCGGGAGTCACGACGCCGAGGGGGGGGGAAGCATGAATCTCTCGCCGCGGGAGCGTTCGGTGGCAACTCATGGGAGCCTCCCCTGCCATCTTGTCGGCTCTTGCAAATCGCAACTAACCAACGCTAAATCGACGCTACGCGACGCTAAATCGACGCTAGCCGACGCGAAATCGGCGCTAACTCGTCGACTCCCAGACGCGTATCGACGCGAGTCGACGCCAAAGACGGAATTCAGAGGGTATACCAGGCGCCCATGATTTGCTACCGAACGAGCGCTGCCCTTTCCTCGTCAGAGAGGACGGGGGTGATCATTTGGCTGTCCCCCTCCCCGTTCCCCCTCCTCTGGGGTTCAAAATGCCGCTTGAGGGGGGTGGGGTGACTGGGGGCGCCCGACCTCGCCAGCGCCTCTCCGGGGGCGTCTCGAGCCCCCGACGAGCCCCAAGACTGCCCGAGAGGGCCCAGACAGAGCGCCAAGATAGTCCAAGAAAGCGTCGAGCCAGCCCGTCCCACGACAGTCCAAGCTGGCTTCAAGGCGGCCCACGATGCCCCGAAGAGTGCCCACGATTCTTCCAAAGGGCCGCGCCGACCCAAGAACTCCGCACACACCTCCGACATCCGCGCGCGCGTGCCATCCCAAGGAAAACTCGCACTCTAGTGACTCCATCTGTGGCACTTTGCAGATGCAGCTGTTCCTGCTTCGACGAATTGGCGGCGGGCAAGGGGGGGGAATGAGAAGGAGAAGGCCTTCTCAGAGGGCTGCGGGACTTCTCAGAAGCCCTCGCGCCTTCTGAGATTTTTTTCTTGTCTTCGGGGAAGGCTTAGGAAACTTCTCAGAAGGCCGGGTGACTTCCGAGACTTCTGAGAAGGCCGGCCCCTTCTCACTTCCCACCCTCGCTCGCCGCCGAACAAAGGAACGACAGAGGCCAAAATTTAAACAATATCACCGCGCACTGTTCCACCCAAGAGACGAGGTATCACGAATTTCCGGCGGTCCCTGGAGCTCTCCGCTGCCTCCACAGGCCCTCATGACCTCCCGAGACCTGAAACAAAGACACTGAAATTGTCAGACGCGTCTTGGGGTGCCGTGGCCTCAAGACTTGCCTGGACACCTCACCCTTGGAACATACATGAGCATGTTGGCCTTGGAATTTACATGGATACCCTATGTTTGAAAGTATATGGGCACCTCGGCCTCGAAATATACATGGGGAGCTGCGTTTCACAATGTGCATCGGAACGAACCTCGGCATCAGAACTTACATGGGCGGCGCGGTCACCCGCGGGCCGCAGAGCGGAGGCAAGGAACCACAAGGTCCTGTATCCACCTCGCGCACCAGGCGCACGCGTGCGCGATTGGTTCTGCTTTTGTAAAGAAAGAAAAAGGAGTGCGGGCGTTGATGCACGTGTGCCTTCCTCGGCATATCATGCGAACCGAGAAAAAACTCAGGAATGGGAAGTCACGGGTGCCCGCTGGCTAGAGCAGAACATTGGAATCCATGGGCCGCGCAGCCAGATGGGTGACTCCCTCCGCGGGGCATCGCCGCGATCATATTTTATGTTGGCGTTCATCTGTTTTTAAACGGTCGGTGGGGCAAATCAAGGTGCGGAAGTGTGTCGAAGTAGCGTTCGACCCACGAAACGCAATGGTTTCCAGCGTTGGCAGAGAAGGCGGACTGACCACGAAATGTTCCCTGGAACGGTTTTCTTCTGAGAAGCCTCTTGACGGGGCCGAACGATGCCACACCAGCGCTTTCGGACATCCATCATCAAAACGAATGTCCTGCGATGATGCGCGACCCAATACACATGCGGAGGGCCGACCTTCCATGGACCAGCGCTGGATTAGGACGCCATTGCGCACATCCTCTGAGCACCAGTGGAGCACCAGGCGCACCAGCGTGTCATGAGGTCGGTGGGCCATACCAGTGCGCCAGGACGATCATCATCACGATGATGTCCCCGTGGCAACACATTCGAGGATACACATGCGGACGACCAGTGTCCCATGTGTACCCATCGCTCTGCCACACCAGCGCGCCATTGCATGCATAATCATGATGATGCCCCTGCTACGACGGCACACGCATAACGTCCAATCGTTGGGTCAGGGACGCACACGTCAACAGCGAGCGTTGAAACCTCTTGCGTTGGGCAGAGGCCGAAGGGGTCGCTCGCTTGATGGGGTAAAACGGCGCTGGTAGGTCAAGCGAAACGCCGCTCGAACCACGACACGCTACGCTTTCTCGCAGCGGCACCGAAACAGAGATGTCCACGAATTCGCCCTCAGAATGGTTTCCCGTCAAACGGGCTCTTAAGGGAACCGACGGTATCACACAATCTTTGGGCTCGGCGCTGAAGGAAGACTCCATGGCGCATACTTTCGGCAGCCCAGTGTGTGATGAAATCGGTGTGCCACACCAGCGCATCATGGCACTCATCATCATGACGATGGTCCTGCGATGATGCACGATTGAATACACATGCGAATGACCAGCCTGCCATGCCACCAGCGTGCCACACCAGCGCGCCATGACACTCATCATTCTGATGATGGGGGTGATGCTGATTGTCCTGCAACGAAGCATGACTGGATTCACGTGCGGCGCGCCAGCGCTCCATGTGTACTATCGCTCTGCCACACCAGCGTGCCAGGATGCTCGTCATTCAAGACGATGTCTTGCTTGGGGCGACACACGCAACACATGCTATGGAAACGTCTGGGGCGCACCATTCGGCAGCGTCCGTGGCTACCTTTTTTTGCCGTTGGGCAGAGGCAAAGCGGGTCGCGCAAGCGTGTGCCTTTATCCCCCCCTTCCTCCTCCCCCTCCTCCGCCACTTCCGCTTCCACCTCCTCGGTGGTTCGGGCGGTGCATGCCCCAAGGCTTTGAAAGGCTGTCCATGCAACCTCAGAGTCGTCTGGCAGACGCTGGAAGCGGCTCTCTGCTTCTCCTTCCTCGCATGCTCCTCCTCCTCCCCGTCCTCCTCGATCCCTTTTCCGGATGCCCTGCCGCGCCCCGAAACGTGCCGAAGGGGCTGGCAGGGCGTTTCGCCGGAGACTTCCTCACCACTCGTGGCCTTCAGCTGACAGTGTGCAACAGTTCCACGAAGGGAGGGCGGGCCGTCTTCATGGGACTCTCGCCGTCGCGCCGTGCACACTCGTGCTGAAGGTTCGCAAGACCTTCGCGGCTGGCAACCTTTTTTTTGTTTCAACATGTGGCTCTCGCCTCAGCGCCGCGGACATTCGTCTCAAATTTCGCAAGCGTTTCACGGATTGTGGGCGGTGCCTTTTCAAACTGTGGCTCTCGCCGTAGCGCCGCGCACTTCCGTCTTAAACCAATGCAACAGTTTCACGAACGGAAGGCGATACGTTTTCAAAATGTGGCTCTCGGATTAGCGTCGCGCACATTCGGCTTAAGACTTTACAACGGTTCGATAGAATATTATGGTTAACGTCCCAGAAACGGTGCTTCAACACAATGTTTGACAGTCAGGGCGCAACAATTACGTTGATTCGATGTGTTGGACTTCCCAGAGTGGTTTTCTGGCACGGTTCAGGACCGTCAAGACGCAACAATGACGTTGCTTCGCTGCGCTGAAGTCCCAAAGTGGTGTTCCGGCACGGTCCAGGACTTTTGAACAGTTGTCTTCCAACGGCGCAATTCCCACAGCGAAAATAAAGATTGGCAACCTCGGGGACCTTCTAAGACCGGAGGGCTCCAATTGGGCCCATCTGGGAGCCATTGGGGCCCGTTTGGCCCGTCTTGGGCGCCTCTTGGGCCGTCATTGGACGTCCAAGAGGGGGGGGCGCAAATCATGGCCGGCGGCATGTGCGCGGCCCCTGGGGGGGCCGAGGCACGTGATGAAAAAAGAAGAGGCGCCATGAGATCTGGGGAAATATCATGGCCCACGCCATGATATCCACCCCCCCCTAGTCATCCCCCCCCTCTTTTCCGCCCCCGACGACCTGGGCCCTCAAGGAGCCCCGAAGATCGGACGGGGCCCCGAGCACCGATAGTTGGGACGCATTGTAATGGTCGTGGTCCCCGGGCGCGCCCGGGCCCGGTCCCCGGATCGCGTCCAGGGATGACTCACGTCACTCTTGCTCTCGGGAGCCTTCGTGTGAAAAGCTTGTGACGTCGTGTCTTTCTCTCTCTCTCTCTCTCTTTCCCTTTTGTCGCTCTTTTTTTGTTTCACTCTCTCTCTCTCTCTCTCGAGAGAGAGAGAGAGAGAGAGAGAGAGAGATAGAGAAAAGAAAGAGAGAAAGAAATAAAGAAATTAAGAGAGAGAGAGAGAGACAGAGAAAAAAGAAAGAGAGAGAGAGACTCCTGGCTGTAAAAAGATTGGTATGGCACTGCTCGCTCTGAAGAGCGTTGTGAAGATCTTGCTACGCCACCGTAACTGTTGAAAGCTGGAAAACAAAACACATGATCAACCAATTTTAAAACAACGATATAAGTCTGTTCGCGGGCTCGGGCCCTCTTTGGGGCTTACTTGGGGTAACTCCTGGCCATGTTGGGACTCTTTGTGGCCGTCTTGTGGCCCTCTTGAGCCACCTTCGGCCTTCTAGCGGCTCTCCTGAGTCACTCGAGAGCCTTCGTGGTGGCCGCTCGAGGACCTCTGCGGCTGTCTTGTGGCTCTCTCCCACAGAGGGAAAGGGGGGAGAAAGGGGAGCGGTGAGGGAAGAGGGAGGAGGGAAGATCGAGGATACAGGCGAAGGGAGGATGAGATAAGACCCTACTTGAGAAGGGTCGAGGGAGGAGGAACGGAGGGAATAAAAGGAATGAGGCGGGATCTCATAGCGTCCCTCCGTTCATGTCGGCACACCCTTCACACGGATCGCGCTCCCGATGGAGCGTGGAACCTGTTGGGCAGTTTAGGCGGCCTTCTGGAGTTCTTAGCCTGTCTTGAGGGTGCCTCGCCTCAAGAACAGTGGTCCAGAGCGCCCTCGGCAGGCCCTGGTTACCCATGGGGGGACTGCGGCAGGGAGCAAGAAGAGGACTGAGCAAAACAACGCAAGAGGAGAGATGAGGGGGGAAGATGGAGAGGAGCGGAGAGGAATATCAGGAGGATAGACAGTAGAGGCAATCATGAGCGGTGTGCTGAACTTCTACATGTTGCGGACCACCCTGCGATACGCGCAACTGCATTGGGGAGAGGGGCGAAAGGAGGAGGATGAAGGGAAAGGAAGAAGGAGAAGTGGAAAGGGGGAAATACGGCGAGAAGAGAGCGACGACGATGAAGAGACGCGCGTGGATGCCAGGGGAATGCTGCGGAGAGGGAGACCAATAATGATTGGGTCAACAGGGGCATGGGGGAACGGGAAGGATGGGCAGGAGCAAGGATCGGTGAACTCTTTGACGACGTAGAGCAGAGGGCGGCCAGAGAGTAGGGGGCACTGTGCCCCTCCTCCACGCGTGCCTTTCATGACGACCTCCGGCCCGGTCCTGCCTCCGTGCCTGGGGTTCTTGGTCAGAGACCGCTGGGATGCCTGTTGGGACCTGTGCTGGAAGCCTCTGGGCAGCTTCCTGGAGGCAAGTGTGAAGCCCCCTTGGAAGCAGATTGGGGCCCTCCTTTGGGCATCCTGGGGGTCCGTCTGGAGCACTAACCGGCCGTCTTGGGGTTAGGACGGGCATGTCCTCCTACAGGGGGGGATTGGGCGAAAAATTAAAAAATTGTCCAAAACAATCAGAAATACGGGAACAAATCGTCCCCAGACTACTTTTGGACTACTTTTGACTACTCCTCCCGTAGAGGGACATGTCCGACTCAGTCTTGGGGGCTCTCTTTGGCCGTCTTAGCGCCATCTTGGGCAGTCGTGGGGGTCTCGGGCCGCCTGTGGGGCTCTCCCACCGCACTCTGGAGCCCACTTGGCGGCCTCGTGGGGCCCTCCTGCTCCGTCGTGGGGCCCTCTCGGGGCCGTGTCGGGGTCTCTTGGGCCGTCTATCTGGAGGTCGGAAAAGGGGTGTGGCACAAAGGGGTGTGGTGCCAATCGTGGAGCTGGCGATGTTTTCTACGGTAGATAGCCTCGCTAGATCCAGCATTGGCACCACACCCCTTTACCACCCCTTTCCGACTCCCAGAGTCTCTGGACGACGTTTGAAACCTCTGCGGCCGTCCCAGGCCGTCGGAAGCCTCAAAAGGCGAGAACCCGACAACCTGTTGACCCCAGAGGAACATCCATGCTGCTCGCCTCCTCACACCCGCGTGGAGGTCTTCTTGGCGCCCTCTGGGGCTGTCCTGGGTTGTCTTGGGGGGCGTTGGCCGTCCTGGGGTTTTCTTCGGAGCCTCTTGGGGCTCTATCGGTGCTCTCTTGGGGAACTCTCTTGGGGCTCCCCTGGGCCGTCTTGGGGTTTCTTGGGCCGTCTTGGAGCCCTCTGGGGCCCCCTTGGGCCGTCGAGGGCCCACTTTTGGTGCCTCTTGCGCCGTCTTGAAGCGTCGCAATGCCGAAAAGGCGGAAACCTGAAATACCACCAAACCCCAAAGAGAAATACTGGTGAATCCTATGGATACCATCATCCTGTGGCATGGTTCAAGCTGGGTCGGTATGAGACGGCCCGGGGGCCCGAAATTGGGCCACCTCGCCAGGCGCAAACTAAAATGGCGACGTCTGGATCTCAGGGGGCACCCCTGACATGTTCAACCGGTTGAACGTTTTCATATTCGGTGTTTATGCATTGGGCGCCAGGGGGGAGGGGGGGGGTTGGCTCCAAACCTCTGCTCAATGCGACAGTTTGCAACGGTTCGTCCTGTGGGGGAGGCTCCGCCTGCTTGAAACAGGCGCCACAAGCAGCCAAGACCTACTCCATGGGGGGGAGGGCGTGCGTCTATGGCGATGTGGATTGTGCAACGTTCGCAATGAGGGTCGACCGCCGCTGGCATCGTGGACTGGATGGCGCGGCGCTGCGAGTAGATTTGCGCGCAGCGTGAGCATTTCGACGAGTGCCCGGGGTAGCGCCGATCGGCAAGACAACAAAACCGTGAATCCGAATTTTGATCGCCTGTCAGAAGCCCTGGGTGGGCCCGCCCGAATGTGCGTGGGAGGGGCCGGCTGGCCGGCGAGCCTCCTGGCCAGTCGAGGAGACGTTCGGCGGCCCGGTCACCCAGTGGAGGCCTCGGCCGACGCGCCGCCCGCGGGAGGGGCCAGGGAGGGCGAGAGGACGACGGGCGTCGAGGAACAAGGCCCGGCATTGGCACGATTTCTCGGAGAGGTGCGCGCAAGTTCCTTGGATCGGCGCCGGATCCCCCATCCCTCGCGCGCGGATCGCGCCAGGGGCGGCGACAGAGGCGCCGCCAACGGGTCCCAGCACGGATCCGAGAAATCCGCGCGGACCTCCGAGCAACATAGGTTTATGACGCTTTTGATTCTGGTCGAAACATGGCGAGAAAAAAAAGCCGAACTGTATGCGCCGACGCTTTTTCCGGGCCCGCACTGAAATTCGCACAGGAAAGCGGATCTCCGCGTATGCGGGATCCTGGTCATTATCGTCGTTTCCCCGGGAAAACGGGGAAACAAATATAAACCACATCGCCACGACTTCGCCCCTGGCCTTCAAGAACTCCTGGGATTGAGGAACCACCGGCCACTGGTAATGTGCATGTCCCAGTTTCCGGGAAAGGATGGCGGCGAGAGGGGAGCCAGAAGGGGCGAGGCGAGGCGAGGCGAGGGCGCCAGAGTCGGGCACACAGGTGTGCCCGTGCCCTTTGGGCAGGGCGCACGAGGCCGTGGCCTCAGGTCGTGTCCGGATAGGCGTCGTGGACGAAGTTCCTCAAGGACCAGTGCACGAACCGGGCAAGGAACGACATGCGTGCGAGCCAGAAGGGGCAGGAGGATGAGAAGGAGCCGCCCTCGGTCCGCGCTGCGCGGGCGAGAGATGGGGCGAGGTGGGGAGCCGGCCAGTCTGGGAGCCAGCGCAGGCCCTCAGGTTGGATGTTCGTTCTGGGGGTCTTCCTGGAGACATTCGCTCCACTCTTGCGTCGAAGCTGCGTCGAACGTCCGTCGATTTGGGTCGACCCTGAGTCGAACCTCAGTCGAACTTGAATCGAACTTGAGTCGAACTTGACTCTAACTTGAATCGAACTTGAGTCGCATAAGGATCGATCAGATCCGATGGGTGGGCCCCCAGGAAGGCCCCCAGACGAGCCTCACACTTGGGTGCTCAGCACCGGCTGGGAGCCGGCGCCAAAGCGCCGACCCCCTGGGAGAGATCGACAAGCTCGGGGGACCCAAAACTGCCAGGCGAGGACCTATCCATAGCTGCCGCCTGGGAAACACCAACGCCCTGGGGCCCCAGCGGGCGGCGGAAACGGAGCTTCTGGGCCCCTGTGTCCCGAATCTATCAAATGTCTGCCGACGGCCCCGAAGATCGACCCCCCCACAGCGGCAGCTATGGATCCATCCCCGCAGCGGAACGAACCAGGACAGGCCGTGCGGTGGCCTCGACAAATCCCGAGGGTCCTCGACCCACGGGTTCGGGACCCTGGAGGCCCCCGTCGCCCGAGACATCCTCGGAGAGCGACCCGCACGTCCCCAAACCGTGCAGTCCCCCCGAAGCCGCTCTGACTGACCACACGGTGCGGTCCACCGCACCGTGCTGGCCCTCCCCCCCAGAAAGGAGCAGCGATCGCCAGACAACGGGCGCTCCGCGGGCTGTGGGCCGCAAATTGCGCCCGCCGGGGAAACCAACCCTCGAGTAGGGGACCAACTGCATAATTTACTCACCCCATAATGAATTCGTGTCAGCGAATCGACCGCAAAACACGCATAATGTTCGTGGATCTGAGCGTATACTACGTATTGTCGTGGGTTCGACGAACCAGATCAAGTCTGGGGTAAATCAACTCCGTAGTCGATCTCCCTACACTTAACCCGTATCACAAGGATGCGAGATAAGAATGCAAGGGCCGTGGAAGCTCATTTCGAAGCTTTTCGAGCGGGGCGCGGCCAGCGAACGTGGCCAATGATGGACCGAGGAGGTAAGGATGCAAGCGAACCCTTCGGAAGGTCGCCCATACTGACTATGCGGGTTTTCGTCGAATCGACAGCAAAACACGTAGAATGTTTCGTGGGTTTGCGCGCATACTGCGCATTTTCTCGTGGACTCGACGATCGGCGGTGGACAAACCTCCCTTCAATGAACCACCCCTTTGTGACAACGGCCTAGGACCGAAACCGACGGACCTGGACCCGCAAAAATATCCGCCGCGACGCCCTCTCCCGAACCGAAAACGGCCAATTCACTCATCGGCCGGAGCCGGGACGCCGCCGCGCGGGCGGAAGCCTCGAGGAGCGGGGGGGCGCCCTGTGGCGCAGGAAGGGAAGGGAAGGAGGGGGCGGGCGGGGAGATGGAGGTGGAGGCAAGAGAAGGGCATCGGACGGGGAGCCTGCGGAGCAGGAGTGGGGGCGGGGAGGACCGAGGGAGGTCAGGAAGTGGGAAGGGAGGAGGAGGAGGAGGAGAAGGAGGAGGAGGAGGAGGAGGAGGAGGAGGCGGCGGAGTAGGAGGCCGAGGAGGAGGAGGCCGAGGAGGAGGAGGAGGCGCCCCCGACGAATGCCCTTCAGCAAAGGCCCCAGCCTCTGCGAACAACGCGCCCCACCACTGAAGCACAGCGTGAAGGTCCCGTGGAGACCCGTCCGTGCACCTTTGAAGAGCCGAGACGCCCTCGCCCTGCCCGGACCAGACGCCCCCTCCCTCGGAGGCCGCATCCCCGGGGACACCACACGGTACCGACACCGCCACCTTTCCTGATGGGCCAATTTTCCACCACCACTACCATAATTAGGTGGGACGGGGGAGAAGGGAGGATGGGGAGGTCCTCCTCCTCCTCCTCCGCCTCCGCCTCCTCCTCCTCCTCCTCCTCCTCCTCCGCATCCCTCTCCTACCTATGTATTTGTTGTTGAAAATTGGCCCATCATTCCCGGACCTCTCCCAGGGGTCCCCGGGTGCACTCTGACCACGACTTCGAGGAGAGTCCCGCCGTGGCGACGAGGGCTCTCCAGGACGAGCGGCAGCATCGGTATCGGTATCCTGTCCTCCTCCGAACCACGGGCCCCGGAGCATCGCTTAGCCGATCCCTACCCCCACGGGCGCGGCCCGGGCCCCACTGGCCGATTCACCCCCCTAGGGATAGGGACAGAGGCCGTTCCCTTGGGGTTTCGAGGGGTGCAGCCCCAACTGGGGGGTAATTTGGTGGGGGTCTCGACAAAGATGGGGATAGTTGGGCAGGGACCGACCGTCCCGGCATTTCTACAGGCCTACCACGAAATTTTCTTAGAACTCAAACAAGTTCGAATAACACAATCATGTTCTTAGAACATAGACCCGATGTGATGAAACAAGACGGTCCCAGCCAGAAATGTTCTAAGAACACTTCGTGGAGACCACAAGAGGTCCTTAAAGCATTGTTCGGTAGGCCTCTAGGCGAGCTGGGACGCTTCGCCACTGCTTGAGACAGGGGATGGGGGCCGCTTGTACGATTGAAGGGGCCCTGGGACACACACAAATAAATACACACAAATAACAGGGCTCCCCATATTTTCCCATATTTTCTGGGTTTTCGTCTTCCCCCCACTTCCCGTACTCTCCCATATTTCCTGGGGAATCGACGAATCATTGTGTCTGTGTGTTTTTTGCCCTCCTGAACGGAGCTGGGCCCCGGGACATTTCGCCTCCGAGCCGTCGCCTCTGGCGCGGCCAGCGGCCGCCGCGGCCGCCAGCACCGTCCGACCCCTGGACGGGCCATCGGGGCGGCGGCCTCGAGCCGACCGCCCGGCGCGCGGGGCGCGCCGCCGGCCTTCTTCTCGGGCCGGGCGGAAGGGGGGGATAGCCAAAGGGCGGGGGTTGAGAATCAGCTCGCGTAGCTGATTTTCCCGGCGCCTCCCGCCGCCGGGGGCGCCCATGCATCGAGAAATGGGCCCCTCGGTGGGGCCGAAACCAGCTGCACGCAGTAGATTTCGTGACCCCCCTTTCCCTATCCCCCCCTTTCGTTCCGCCCCCCTATCCCCCTTTCCCTATCCCCCCGAAGCGCTCCAGGAGGAGCGGCGACACCTGCATGATTGGCAGCAGCCGCGGTCAACCCTGCCGATGCAGGAGGCTTCCGGAGATTGTGCCCCAGACATAGGTGCGGAACAGTGGGAACGATAGATTCCCCACAGCGACTGTTGGCGCACATCGGCAGCGGTCGCTGCTGGGCAGGCGGCCGTCTGTCCGAAATGGGCAGGAAGCCAGCGGCGGCTCCGACAGCGAACCATAACCAGAAGGGGCAAGAATTGTGTTGGTCTTCGCCCCCCTTCTTCCCATACCATGTCGACCGCACCGGTGGAGGATGGGAGCGGCGTCGAAGAGAACGACGGGAAAGACGGCGACGACGACGACGACCAAGACGGCCCCTGAGATCCGATGTCGCAAATGAATTTGGAACATCGTCAAATTCAAAACTCGAGACCAGAGCCCCAGACCCAATCTTTCGACGTGATAGCCCTGTGTCCCACACCAAGAAAAGAAACGCCTAGAGGAAAAACAAACGGCGTAAACATAGACTGTCGATGGTCCGCGCGGATTTCTTGGATCTGCGCTGGACCCCCCTTCCTGGCGCGCGGAGCGCGCCATTGGCGGCGCCGGAGGCGCCGCCAGGGGCCCCCAGCGCGGATCCAAGAAATCCGCGCGGACCGCCGACAACTGCCTGTTTATGCTTCGGTCGGGCGTGTCCCCGCACAGGCGGATGTTGAACCACAACTCAAACAACAAAAAAAGCCAAAAACGCAAAATAACAATAAAACTACTAGGGAATAAAACGACTAAAACCACCAGCCACATACTATTTGTGACTACTTTGGAATACTACTATCGAGGGACAGGCCCGACTTGAATTTATGCTGCTTCTGCCTCGTCGAGCGCCAGGACCTCGGGGGCGGTTGAAGCTGCCAGGGCCCGGGCCCACGAGGGCCGTGCCGCCCGCGCAGTCCCCGCTCTTCACCATCAGGCGGTCCTCCGACGACAGGCCGACGCCTGCGGTCGGCGGGCGCCCGAGGCTCGAAGGCAGAAGGCGGATTAGGAGGAGATTAGGAGGAAGATCTGGAGGAGGAGGAGGAGGAGGAGGAGGAGGAGGAGGAGGAGGAGGAGGAGGAGGAGGAGGAGGAGGAGGGTTAAGGGGAGTATGAGGAGGGTAAGGCGCGCCTTCTGAGAAGCCTTCCCCCTCCCTCTGTCCCACTCTGCGTGTGGCCGGCTCTCTCCTCCCTGCCGCCTCTTGGAAGCGGCCCAGGGGGGAAGGGGGTCTGAGCCGGGCGGGCCCCGAGAGCATCCGCCAGAGACGGGGGAACACTGGAGGCAGATCTGGTCAAAATCAGTCCCCAAGGCCCCTCCCCGGGTCCCCTGGTCCATGAATCGATGGTGGACGGTCCTGGGGCCCGAAAACGACCCCCAGAGGCGGACGTTTTTGTTTGTGTTGTTGTTGGTGTTGTCGTTGTTGGTGTTGTTGTTGGTGTTAATGTTGTTGTTGTTGGTGTTGTTGTTGTTGTTGTCGTCGTCGTTGTTGATGTTGATGTTGAGGTTGTTGTTGTTGTTGTTGTTGTTGTTGTTGTTGTTGTTGTTGTTGTTGTTGTTTGTTGTTTGTTGTTTGTTGTTTATTGTTTGTTGTTGTTGTTGTTGTTGTTGTTGTTGTTGTCGTTGTCGTTGTCGTTGTCGTTGTCGTTGTCGTTGTCGTTGTCGTCGTCGTTGTCGTCGTCGTTGTTGTTGTTGTTGTCAATTTTCAAAATCAGTGTTTGTTCATACGTTTTGCGTGCGACGTGTGGTTCTCGTTCGTACCGTTGTCGGTTCGGGTCCACTGATACTGCCACATATGGGATTCTGTGTTGGGCTACATTGGATGTCCTTTTTCGTTGACCGGGAACCGAAAAGGCGATGACGGGTGAAGAAGAGAGAACGCCCCCATCGTGCTCAACATCAACTAAAATCTGGGCCCCTTTCCTGGGACGGGTTGCTCATCGCATCGCCAGCGGAACGAGCGCTGCCTGAGCTATCACGCGGCGCTTTCGCACCTCGCGGCAAGCATCTGGACGCCTGCAGCTCAAAGCTGAGTGCCAAGCAAAACGGTTCCCTCATGTTTAAACACATAAAATGACGCTCTGGCCGAAGGCTGTTTGGACGCCCGAAATGGGTACGGAAATAATAGGTACAATGCCCAACAACAAATGTTGTCCCACACCGACATCGGCCGCTGTTGGGCAGGCGGCCTTCTGTCTCAGATGGACACAGGCCACGGCGGCGCGGACAGCGAGCCCCGTTCAAAATGAACAAGAACTGCTGTTGGCATCGTACCCATTCTTTCCGTGCCCATCTCGTTCGTGCAGATGCTCTGGCCGAAGGGCCCTGCAGCAGCCCTCAAGATGCCGCGTGGACGGCACCCTCGTCCCAAGAACGGCTCGCGGCCTGCCTCGGCGGGAGCGAGGGCCTCCACGCACCCGGCCACCATGTCAAGAACGGACCCTGGGGCGGCGCACTCGAAGCCCGCTCCCCCCCCTAGGCGGCCTCCAGGGCAAACCCAAGCTGGGGGACAATCCTGGCCAAGACGCCCTCGGGGTGGAAGCTAGAGGCCTCCTCGAGGGGGCCCCTGTAGATGGGGTCGGAGGATCGCGCCGCATGGCCGATGCATCGGCGACGCATCGGTGATGCATCTGCGATGCAACGTCGACATCGGCGATGCATCGGCGACGTCGGCGTGGAGAAAACCGGGCTGCACATCGAGCCGCATCGATGATGCGGCGCGACCCTCCAACCCCATCTGCTCGAATCCCATCGAAGAGGCCTATAGAAAGGTTGAGAGTCGTCCCGAAACATTGCTTGACGGCCCCCGGGCCCGGCGAGGAAGGCGGGGGCCGAACGTGGCGAACACAAACAGAAAACTCTCGTCCTGACGCTCGCCACGGCCCGAGGCTGTCTGGGTCCCCGCCCTCGCCCTCCTCAGGCCGAAGGCCACGGATCGGGCGTTGCATAATGGGGA